TGATTCGGGGAATAAAAACTTCAGATTACTTTTGATAGAAATTTTAAATGTTATCTTGTAGAAGTCTGACAATAATACTGAATTCCTAATATTTTAAAATTTTGCTATGGTATAATAATCTTAATACTGTAGATGTATTCATCCTATGTCTTACAAACCTAGACTGATTATCTGGCAAAATGGAATACATATTACATTTTAAGTTTCTTCTATTTTGAAATATTTTGTTGTTTGAGAGGTAGTGCTTATTAAAATAATGGGGATTAATGGGCTCAACTCTCAATATCTCAACATCCCTCAAACTGATGTAAACTTTTAAAAATGCTTTGAGATCTAAGATGAAAAGTGCTACATAAGAGCCAAATATTCTTAAGTGCATCCTCTGTGTTTGAGATTTCCTAATTCTCTTTTAAATTCCTATGAAAATGGGGAGAGAATTTTTTTAATAGTAAAGGCTTAAGAGCATTAAATATTAAAGGGAGTACTCTATAAACTCAGTCATTAGAATTATATTCCTTGTTGAGGAAATAAAAGTATATCTGCACTTCTGAGAGAGATGTAAAGCAGTAAATGTATATATTATTATTAATGGCCACAAGGAATGTACACAACAGCATGACTTTTCTGTACTTCTGAGAGAGATGTACATTCCTTGTGGCCATTAATAATTGAATTAGAACTGGTTGGCAATAGGATAGCTTCTGAAGCCCAAATTAACAGCAGAGTGAAAACCCAGACATAGTTAACAATTAAAATTCACTTTGGAAGAAAAGCAGAAGCACAAATATTTTTGCTGTGGGCTTAATGTTTACTCTGTCCTTTGTGAACTAGAATAAGCTGAAATGGATTCCCTGTTTACTGTATAAGATTAGATTGCAGACCAGATGATAAGAAAATGTAACAGTAATAAACTAGAGTTCACTAAAGACATGGCCAGCCTTCTAGATCAGATAGGTTGTACAAAGAACGTGATGAAGTGATATGAAGAAGTGGATAAGAATGATATAGCAGTTTTTGGCATAGCAATAGTGTCTTACCATTTCACTGCAAAATATTACCTTCAAGTTTGTGTGTTATGCAAAAATATCAAAACTGAAATATGGGTCCATTTGTCAGAAGATGGATGCCTAAATAAACATGGGAAAGGTTACAAAAATCTGTTTTTCTGTTGGTTTAATTCAAAGTAGAAAATCTGACTGTGCCAGGATGCACTTAAAATAAATCTGATTAGAATATACCATTCCATGAATTGTGATGGAGTATTTTGGCCTCAAAATAAATAATACAGAATGCAGAAAATGATCAAATACAGAAAAGCTAACTGACATAATGACTAATATGATGTAATATGAAATTTGACTGTTCGCCCTACTTATCAAGATCTGTCTTGCAACTAATTTGTTATAATATAGAGTGAACTGAAATTTTCAGTACTTTTTAAGCTATCACCTTCAATGATACTTTCTTATTTGTTAGAAACCAGTTAAACTTTTTTTTAATACTTTAAATGGTAAAAAGAAAATACCTATTCCAATCAAAACAGAGTATGATCACATAGAATCATAGGATTAGAAGGGTCATCTAGACTAATCCCTGCCAAGATGTAGGATTTGTTATGTCTAAACTATCCAAGACAGATGGCTATCCAACCTCCTTTTGAGAATCTCCAACAAAGGAGCTTGCACAACATCCTTAGGCAGTCTGTTTCAATTGTACAATATTGTAGGTTTTCCATAGTTGGCAGGTATATTTATTGCCCAGATGGAGAGGTGCCAAATTTGAGTGGCATAGGGGGTGGCCCTGTGATGTGTTGCCTAGAGCGGCAGATTTTGTTGATTGGCCTGTGTACAAGGCATTGACTAGGTCACTATGGCTGGATAGTTTTGCCTAAATAACAGGGATAATGTGGACCAAACCTTAGTGTGTACTAGTTTAGAAGATTCCAAAAGATGCACGAGACCACGTAAAAAGAAAAGGAGTACTTGTGGCACCTCCCTATGTCATCTGTCATGTTAGAAACAACACTGAGTACTCCTTCAATAGAAATTATCCACTTCATAGTACCCTAATACAAATTTAAATAGACTTTTAAAGTCTTAAGACCCCAAAGTTTCTCTAGAGCAGTGGTTCTCAAAGCCAGTCCACCGCTTGTTCAGGGAAAGCCCCTTGTGGGCCGGACTGGTTTGTTTACCTGCCGTGTCCGCAGGTTCGGCCGATCATGGTTCCCACTGGCCGCGGTTTGCCGCTCCAGGCCAATGGGGGCTGCGGGAAGGGCAGCCAGCACGTCCCTTGGCCCACGCTGCTTCCCGCAGCCCCCATTGGCCTGGAGCAGTGAACTGCAGCCAGTGGGAGCCGCAATAGGCCGAACCTGCGGACGTGGCATGTAAACAAACTGGTCCGGCCCGCCAGGGGCTTTCCCTGAACAAGTGGTGGATCGGCTTTGAGAACCACTGCTCTAGAGGTAATCTACTTTTGTTCTGCGGAAAAGGACCTAGGGGTGACAGTGGACGAGAAGCTGGATATGAGTCAGCAGTGTGCCCTTGTTGCCAAGAAGGCCAATGGCATTTTGGGATGTATAAGTAGGGGCATAGCGAGCAGATCGAGGGACGTGATCGTTCCCCTCTATTCGACATTGGTGAGGCCTCATCTGGAGTACTGTGTCCAGTTTTGGGCCCCACACTTCAAGAAGGATGTGGATAAATTGGAGAGAGTCCAGCGAAGGGCAACAAAAATGATTAGGGGTCTGGAACACATGAGTTATGAGGAGAGGCTGAGGGAGCTGGGATTGTTTAGCCTGCAGAAGAGAAGAATGAGGGGGGATTTGATAGCTGCTTTCAACTACCTGAAAGGGGGTTCCAAAGAGGATGGCTCTAGACTGTTCTCAATGGTAGCAGATGACAGAACGAGGAGTAATGGTCTCAAGTTGCAGTGGGGGGAGGTTTAGATTGGATATTAGGAAAAACTTTTTCACTAAGAGGGTGGTGAAACACTGGAATGCGTTACCTAGGGAGGTGGTAGAATCTCCTTCCTTAGAGGTTTTTACGGTCAGGCTTGACAAAGCCCTGGCTGGGATGATTTAACTGGGATTTGGTCCTGCTTCGAGCAGGGGGTTGGACTAGATGACCTTCTGGGGTCCCTTCCAACCCTTATATTCTATGATTCTATGATTCCTACACCCAAATGTGTGAAGAATTAATAATTTAGCAACAACAAAGAGATGTGGGCTGATATAATGAGTACTACAAACATTCTATTTGTAACATGCCAAAGCCACAGCTTCTTAATGTTACCCTCCTCTTTCTGGAACTTGCAAGCTGTCCCAGGTATTACCAGGTCATTTCTTAGGTTGAGAAATGTTGCACAGATCTGGGTGAAAAGGCAGATTGTTCCAGGCAGATTGCTCAACAACCTACGATGTACTATTGCACCAGGTAAGTTGGTTCTGGCATCAACCTTGTGGATTAATGCAACCAAACTCTGTATCACCAAATAAGTAATTTATTTCATCATAAGAAGATATTCAGCAAAGGAAAATCCATAGAACTAAAGGCTGAGATTGCTCTTAAAAAAAAAAATCATTTTGAGGCCTCCATTTTATCACTATAAGTTGTTGTTTGTACCTGCTAGAGGCGATCTTCAAATCTTTAGCAGAGACCAAGACTCCAGATTTGTCAGAGGACAGGTTATTGCAGTTCAACCCATCTTTCAGACCATCATAAAGAAGGCCAGGGTTTTTACTTCTAGGGGAAGAGGATATATTTTTCAGTCAGGTAAGAAGTTAGTGGACTCTGTGTCCCCAGTCACTGTCAGGTAGTATATCTGGTAGTATATCTGCAAGTTGCAACATTGTCATATACCAGTCTGATTATTCTTGTGAAGACTGAGGGTAGGAAACAAGTATACAACAACAATCACGTTCCCCACCCACATTTGCGAAGACTTAAACAGGATTTAGGGAAAGACCTATAACATCAGTCTTGCTCTTAAGAGCTTTCAGAATGATTCCTACTATGCTGCAGAGTAGGGACTAGCAACGTGTAAATTTTAATGTTTCATATACAAAGAAAAAACTGAAGTACTTTAGACTTTATGTATTTTTAATGTTTACTGTGCTCAGCTAACTGTTATAGTCTCACAATTTGTGAGAATTTGTAGGATTTTTTCTTTTGAAAATTTGGCCCTAAACATTGTACATAATTTACAACAACCACTGAAGTCCTTTAGGAATGCTGTGATGATCAGACACACCTTAGCTAAGGATACCTAGGCAATACTGGAATGTAACACATCACTTGGCAGATGTTCCTCATCAGTAGTGTTCATTTTCCTTGTCATTTTAATTTGACTCAGTAAGCTGTATCTCATTGTATAAATGTAATTTAGATTTACCAGCAATATAATCAAGTAACATCTTACATATTTTGAATCTTGTGGAGCTTTCCGCTGCTCATCTAGGAGTACTGCACAGAGCTTGACATTGTTCAGGACATTGGAGGGGAGGGATTTTTCAAAAAGAAGAGGGCTGAGCCTGTTTGCAAAAATGCATGCTTACCTTTGTGCTTTCAGTTCTTGCAAACTGCATGTGCTTCTGATTAGTGTGGTGTCTAAATACAACTGTGCAAAACATTCATTAGACTTTTTTAATCCTGGGACCTGAAATTTCACTTTTTGCAAGTTTGATTCCAAAGGGTAAATATTCAAAGCACATCCATAACTTCCATGAACTATAAAAGTTTGAGGGCATGCATCTAAGTGAGAATAGATGTCAAACCATTTTTAACACCCCGTATCTTCCTCCAATGACCAATCAGAGCATTTGAACTTCATTATAATACAACTGGTCTTCACATATGTGGAAAAACAGCCAGTTATTCCATAGATATGCCTGATACAAAACAACATGAAGATTATTCTTAGTTTTTCTTGCTCAAAACAAACAATTAAATGTCATCTATCTTAAATTTCAGTATTGTCTATTTTTGGAAAGCTGGCCGACTTACCGTGAATGAATCATGACATTGTCGTGGGTATTCAGAGACACTGTCAGTTACTTGATATTTGACACACACAGCACCTGACACTGAGGGAGGTGAAGTGACTCCATTGTTGAAATGAATCACCTTATTATGAGGTGGGACAGAAGATGGGATTTGGGTACAATCTGTAGTGTCTATGGCAGAGGGAAAATGAGCTGTCATACAATTCAGAAATAATCTGCTGTTAACATAGCTGATCTCTATTTCTTCTGGAATTAGCATCCACAAACAGATGAATGCACTTTTTGTCTTAAGACTTCACTAATGCATATACGGTGTTTTCTGTGGTGGTTTAAAGAGACAGAATCTAAAAAGCCTAAATATATTCATATTGTTTAAAACCATGGCAATGCATTATTTCAATTACCAAGGGATTTTGGAAGTCCTGTTAAGGGCTACATTTTTCTTCTCTTACAATCAGAGAGACTTCCATTGTTTCTACAGGAGGATTGGATCACTTCCTAAATCACCTTGAATAGTTAGTGAACTGTGCAGGTCAGACTATAGATAGAAATATCTGTTCTTCTATATGGGTCAACATGTTTCTGTCCATTTATATTTATGATCTTCTTAACAGTTTTCAAGTTCTCAGTGAAAGATAACTTTTTGCTAACTAACAAAAGAAGAGTCTTTAAAGGCACAACTTGCATAGGAAAAACAAACTGGTTTTGTAAGTTTAATTTTGGGGAGTAAATATTGCATCCCTGTTTTTGGATGTCTCAGATGACCGTTATTACCTTCCACTGGGCCATTCTCTTTAAGATGATATTCTTGAACTTTAGCTAAGCTTAACTAGCATGAATTCACTTGCTTGTATTGGTGCTGTGTTCAATCTGCATGAAATTTAGCCACAGCCTACTCTTCTCTACCTTCCAAAGTTCCAGTGATTTGAAACTTTACCTTGGGACTTACTTCAGCCCTATATAAAATACAGATCTGGCTATGGCTTGCTGCTGGAAACTCTGAGAATCCCACGGTCTTTTAAAGGAGGCAGCTTAAATAGGTAGTGGGAAGTGGATGTAGCATCCATGCAGAATGATGACAGGCAAATATCATGTTAGTTCTACATACAAAATATTAGAATAAGATACAGTGAAGGGGAGGAGTTACTAGAAGGATGGGAATAGGAAAAAAAATTAAGGAACAGTACATTGTGCGGGACGGAATGAAGATAAGTAGGGAAAGGACAAGGAGAGGAGGGAGGCTAAGCATAGAGATGAGGTTGGAGGACAGGGAGAGTGAAAGTGGGGGAACAGTCCTGCTATTGTGGGGAACTTTCTTGGCTTCTGCACTACCCCAGTGAAGTGGGCTAGCGAAAGGATCTGAGTCCTCACTCCCACTTCCTTTACCCAGTAGCCTCCCTGCCCTTGAGGACTCCCCTTCCACTCTCCTGTCTGGCAGAGTCGTCGTAACCCCAACAAGGCTGGGCCCAGGATTCCTGCAGGGTTCAACCCCCAACCCTGCTGTGGTCACCTAGGACAGGGGTTAGGGTGTCCCCACACCGGGGTACTCTCTCTGCACTGGGCACTTCTCTGACCCACTGACCATTACATACAAGTTAAAGCAAAGCAAATGCAAGTTATTTAATCAACAATTAATTTTAAAAAGAATAAGGAAAAATGAGAAAGGTTAAAGGGAGCACATCAACCCGCTCTGTGGCAGGGAACATCACAAACAGTGTCTCTGGAATGTCAGGGCAGTTCACAGTCTGTTCCTTGTAAGTCCCAGGCCTTCCTCTCAGGCCCTGGCTGTGCTGCAGGGATGCTGTGGGTTGGACACTTGCTCTGGTGGTGGCCACACGCTCTTAGGTTCTAAGTGGTAGGACCCTTCTTCCCAGTGTTGCCCCCACCCTGTCAGGGTTACGATCCAAGCCTGGCCTGCAGAGCCTCTTGGCTGAGGTGTCTCCCTGTGCTGGGCCTGCTGTCCAGGGTCCCCCTTGGTCTCCCCAGCTGCTCACCTCACCCAGCTCCGGACTGCTCCAGCCCCAGCTCCACCACTCTGTCTCTGCACTGCTGCTGCTGCTCTGCCTCCAGCTCCCTGGGCTGCTTCTTTGGCCCCTCTGGCTCTGGTTGCTGCAGCTCTGCTCCCAGGACAGGTCTGCTCTGCAGGCTGCTTCTGTGATTCTGCTCCCAGCACTGACCTGCTTCGTGGGCTGCTTTTCTGGCCCCTCTGGCTCTGTTTGCTGCAGCTCTCCTCCCAGGGCAAGTCTACTCTCTCCGGGCTGTGCCTCTGGCTTTGGGGCTGCAGCTCTGCTCCCTGGACAGGATCTGCTCTCTCTGGGCTGCTTTTCTGGTCTCTCTGGATCTGGCACAGCTCTGCTCCCCAGCTTAGCTTGGGCCCCAGCTTTCTCCTTAGCTCGGCCCCCACTCTGTCTGACCCAGGCAAACCCAGCTCACACGGAGGACGGGACCTCCCTGGCCTCCTGACTCCCTAATTAGCCTGCCCGCCCTGTCATTCAGGCTGACCTGGAGCATTGGCCTCTCCCCATTGTTCCTGGGGACTATCAGTCTCAGGGTCCTGATTTCCCATAGACCTTCCCCTTTTAGTACTGGGAGCTAGCCAACCAAAACACTGAATGTTCATAAGGGGGCAACAGTCCCCTTACAAGAGTGCAGAAGTGCAGCCTAAATACATTTTTCTTTTTTTCAACCACCAAGATGCACCTCATCACTGCATCCTAATCTAGCTATTATGTATACTCTAAAGTCTTATCCAACATATCTGTCCTTAAAACAGACTGCAATCTCTCACTTGAATGAATAAACAAAACTAATTTAGTCTTTTAAATACGTGTATTGATATCAACACCGACTTCTTATTCTATTTCTTGGATGTTTTAAATCACTTATACCTAGAGTGACATTTCTATAAATGTAGCTATTTTGTTAATTTAAGCACTAACCATAAACTAAACTTTATAGATGTATTATAGCACAAGGAGACAGTGTTTATTTATATATATATATAAATAAACAAACAAACTTACTGGGAGAAAAACAAGTGGAAAAGTAGGAACATTTTCAAATTCTGTATGTACCTTATGGTAATGTCAAAGAGAGGTTACATTTAGGAAATAACAGCTCAGCAGTATCTTTTAAGAAGACCATTTTTTACAATACCAAGTTCAATGCATTGTATTTATTTTGTGACTAAAAATGCTGAAAACTCTGACATAAGCATGCATCTTAAACATGAAATGCTGAGGCATGATAAAACTATTTAAAAAAAATGTTTTGTGTAAACAAATGTCTGTTGCCATATGCACCAGTCTGCAGCAACCTCTGCAGCCATTTCAGTGGTTCATTTGGCTGGAATATTTGTGTTAACATGAATACTGGTGTATCACCTTATTTCACTATGCTTGATTGTCTCATTTTAACTATATGCAATTAATGGTCAGAAATTGCTACCCTTACTCAGGCAAAATCCTTAGAGTCCAGCCCTAAGCGGATTCTTGGCTACCTCTTATTTTCTTTCCAGCATGTAAAAATGCTTTACAGATGATTGTGTTTTCGAAAGATTTAAACTCCTACTTCATCCTTTCCTTACAGAAACAAGTTTCATTCCTCTCTGGTTTTCTCTGTACTTTCCCCATTCCTTAGTGCAAGTCATGACCTTTAACAAAGCCCTAAATAGCCATTGTGGGCTTTGTTCTAGCATGTCCCATGCTCCGTGCAATGTAGGGAGAGAAGGAGGGTGGGGCACCCAGGATGCACCATTTGGCTTAGGCAGAGGGGAGACCGTTGTGCATTATGGGAATGTAGTCTGGTCCACAGGAGAGAATGGAGAGACTTGAAACTCCAAAGCTACCACTCCCATAAAGCACCATGGAATCCTAGGCAGATGGAGTTTAATGGTGAACTGACCCAAAACCGAAGTATTTCATTTTAATCTTCCACATGAGAATTCAAAAATGTTCTGCAAAATGCCATTGAAAACTTCAGTTTTGTGGAAGCTGCGTTTTCTGTGGATAAATCATTCTGCCTGAAATTTCCCAACCACTTCTATTGGTTACAGCCCTCCAGCCCCGCCCCCGCCCCCAATTCTTGGACCCAACGTTGCTTAGAGCTGATATCAGGCAGTTCTAAATTCCATCCCAGTAGACCTTCTACCAGTGGAGGATTGGGTTAGCGTAGTGGAGCTCCACCAAAAACCCCTGCTCAGGGAGAGGGACAGCAGGTATGGATCTGGGTCTCACACCGTTTTGCCCAGAAGAGAGTTCCCCTACACCAGGCAAAGTCTCTGCTGGGCATTTGTGGCTAGATTATGGCCCTTTTGTGTTGCCTGAGTTCTGGCACTGTGAAGAATCTTTCCTTACATCTGTATTTGTGCCAAACTGCCTCAGTTAAGATCAGTGGAGGCACAAGAGCAGGAGCCTTATAAGACCCTAGATGGATAAAATAGAGAAGGTTGTTTTTAAGGCTCTGAATTAAATCAAAGGGTTCTACTTTAGTAAGGAGCTTAGCAGAAATGCAGTTGCTGTTCTTCCTTGCAGACTTGCTCTCATACAGCCTTTATATGAATTCAGTTCACTGATTTTTCCTTTAAGTCCTTGAACAGCCAAACCTGGCAGGTATTATTTTCCAGGATAAATTTATTTGTTATGTAAAGTATAATTTCTTAACGGATGCACATCAGGAGGACATGGATATTAATAGATAGATATTAGAGTGATATAGATTTGGTTTGGTTTTCTCCTTCTCTCTGCCATTTCAGGGTATCTAAGACGGTTATGATTAGCAACTGTCTCATTATTATGCAAAATCGAATTACAGCAAAAATACAGTGTACTGTGACTTTGAAAACTTAAGCAAAACTGACATGGCTTAACAACACAGTCCTGCTTCTTAAATCTTAACAGAAGAAAATAAGTGTCTATTCTACATCTTGCTTTTAAGATGAAAATTTCTGTGTGTAGGTCAAATCACTAAAGCATGTTTTGTTATGAGTGCTATATGCAGGTTAATCCCCGAGCCAGAGG